TTGGTGTCATCAGCAAACATAATAAATCTTAGATTAGGGGCAACAAAAGGCAGATCATTTATGTAAAGAATAAATAATAGTGGTCCAAGTACCGAGCCCTGCGGAACACCACAATTTAGAGATGATTGTTTAGATTCATAATTGTTAATGGTGACATATTGTTTGCGGTCTTTTAAATAACTTTCAAACCAGGACTTAGCTATTCCTCTGATGCCATAATATTCAAGTTTTTGTATCAAAATGTCATGATTAATTGTGTCAAAGGCCTTGGAAAAATCCAATGTTATGCCAATGCTCGTTTTCCCCAAATCAGTTGATTTTCAAATTTGTTCAATGAAATATAAAATGGCCATGTAGGTAGAGTTGAATTTCTGAAATCCAAATTGAAAAGTAAAAATAATTTCAAAACGTTCTAAAAAACCAGTGAGTTTGGCGTGCATGAGCTTTTCTAACAATTTAGAAAATACCTATATATTTCAGGGCTCATGACATCATCCAATATCAGGGCTCATGACATCATCCAATATCAGGGCTCATGACCTCATCCAATACCAGGGCTCATGACATCATCCAATATCAGGGCTCATGACATCATGCATGTGATGTCTGGAATCTGACACTCAATTAACATTGCTTTCCACAGGGTCTAAAGACTTTAGGCAGGAACAACTGAAACCTTGCGAATCAAGTAGACATTCAAAGGCCTTTGGTCATTTTGTTAAAACAAGTCAATTCAGAGATTAGCCTGACACATCATGGATTATTGTTGCATTTGTAACAGTATGAAAAATAAATCATTGATTATTATCAAAGTGTCATTAGATCTATTGTTTTATGTTCAATATCACTAATATATGACAATTTCAATATAGATCTATTGTTCCATGTTAAACTATATATAGGACAATGTTTGAGGGATAGACAGCTGTAGATGAAACATGTCCTAAAGTGTCCTTTGGGAGATTAACAGGCACAAGTGACACTTTGTCATTATAATTTTAAAAATCAAGGCTATTTGATACTTAGAGGTTATGTCACTATGACGTGAAATATGCCTGAGTTCTCCCAATATAGGCCGACCTTGGGAGGCTCTATATTTGGGCAAGAACGAAGGCATATTTCACGTCATAGTGACATAACTGATGTATTACATGCCTTTGTTCCCATGGTTACTTTGTATCAATGACGTGACGTCATGATATTATCATGGTTATTAAAGAAATCTAATATCAAAACGAGGTAAGCGGGCTATATCGGGGTAATCGGGCAATATCGGTGGATATAGCTCGCTAACTTTCCCATTGACTTCCATACAAATGCTTCGCTAGGTATGTAATACTGGATGTTATTAATCAAACACCTCAAAACCATATGAACATCATTGTGCTATTATCTCATATGTAATTCCACTGAGGGATGGGTTAATATAAAGGGTCCTTAAGTTCTAGTTCATTTATAGCCTTGTGTGTGTTTCTGGAATCGCCCACTCATGTCTGTGAATGTGATAATATAGTCAGATTTTTTATGTCACTATCACCAGAAGTGTTGACATAAAGCTATAGGCTCCAACCTTTTTGTGGACAGTGTTCGATGGTTGGTGTTTGGCATATGTAACAGTGTTCGGTGCCTGTAACAAATTGCAGGTGGTGACATTATCTCATGTTAACGCCTTGTTATTTATTACAATTGCTGTATATTGTTGCCGTTACATCAATGATACCGGAATTTCAGCCATTTATATATTTAACTATTTGAATTATCATATAATTCACAAATTATATGATAATTCAAATATAATTATATGATAATTCAAATATAATTATATGATAATTCAAATATACAAATATATGAATATGTTATACATGGCTGCTCCATGAATACAGGTTATATACTAAAAGACATCATGATTTTTTGATAACAGGTCTGTTTAGATAAAGGCTTTAAATATGTCAAATTATTAGAGTTTTGTCTGTAGAACGTTAAGGTTGCCTTAAATGATGATCTTAAATATAGCTAAGACCTTATATGGAAATCTAAATGTGAAATGAACACTTGGTAGTTGGGAGAACTGTAGTGTTGTGATTTTCTGATTACAGATGCTGTTGGATAGTCTTGATGAAAGAAATATGTCTCTAGCGCAGATTCATTCAAAATCTTGCAAAGAGAAGGTGATCTGGGAAGGGTTAATCCAATATGTAATATCCTTCATCCGGCATTCATACATTCATTCTCTCCTGTTGCAATTTGTCACATACAGCCTAAGACATAGATGAAGACCCAGAAAATACCTCAATATAGCCTCAAGAAATACCCAAAGAATAGCCTCAAGAAATAGCTCAATATATGTTTATAGCCTCAAGAAATACCCAAATATAGGCATAGCCTCAAGAAATACATCAATATATGTATATAGCCTCGAGAAATACCTCAATAAAGGTATAGCCTCAAGAAACAACTCAATATAGGTATAGCCCCAAACAATACCTCAATATAGGTATAGCCTCAAGAAATACCCCAATATAGGTATAGCCTCAAGAAACAACTCAATATAGGTATAGCCCCAAACAATACCTCAATATAGGTATAGCCTCAAGAAATACCCCAATATAGGTATAGCCCCAAACAATACCTCAATATAGGTATAGCCCCAAACAATACCTCAATATAGGAATAGCCCCAAACAATACCTCAATATAGGTATAGCCCCAAACAATTCCTCAATATAATTATAGCCCCAAACAATACCTCAATATAGGTATAGCCCCAAACAATACCTCAATATAATTATAGCCTCAAACAATACCCCAATATAGGTATAGCCCCAAACAATACCTCAATTTAGGAATAGCCTCAAGAAATACCTCAATATATATATAGCCTCAAGAAATAGCTCAATACAGGTATAGCCCCAAACAATACCTCAATATAGGTATAGCTTCAAGAAATAGCTCAATATAGGTATAGCCCCAAACAATACCTAAATATAGGTATAGCCCCAAACAATACCTCAATATAGGTATAGCCTCAAGAAACAGCTCAATATAGGTATAGGTATAGCCTCAATAACAACATCATTATTTAAAATGTCAGTATAACTTAAATTATATAAGAACAACATCATTATTGCCCATTTCATAATAATTTTAACCTTAAATAGGCATTATCTCCTGATAAAGACTTCACTACATAGATATTACCAAGATCTCAATAATATAGCATTTGTAAATCAATTTGCTTTAGTTTGATACATTAATCAACAATTTTGACCTTCTATAAATTGAATTACAACTCGTATATCCCCAAATCTGACAAAGGGGTTAAATCTGTCTGGTCAGTTCTTTCAGCAATTGGTAAATCATGATTTTGACCCCTGTGGTAATCGAAATGACATTTTAAGACAAATACTCATTTCTAATGAATGAATTAGATATCATTTTGTTGGAAATTGTCTTTCCAATGATATATGGTTTATACATTTGTCTGTAATATCAACAACATTGAAACAAAAATATGGACGTTTTTTTGGCCTACATTGTACATGACATTTTGTCCAAATTCAATTTGAATATAACTTCAATAATCAGATTTGGAAAGGATAGTCCCCTAAGAAATTGATTCCCTCAAAAAGAAAACTTGAACTTTCATTATTTCCATCTTTTCATGGGATTAATTCATAAATTTTCTCACTAAAACAAGATGAGGGGCAGCACATGTAATAACGAAATCAGTTTCTAATCAGTATTTACTTAAGGCTAGTAATTCTTTTATTTATGGCCTGGATTTACTGAATGAGCTAGATGTGTCCATGAAAAATAGCCGCTAGTATCGTAATCTGACTTTAATTTTACGGTTAGCTAGCCTAGAATCGACCCTCAACTGACACTTATAGTATATGGTAGTACTACAGGCTGCGTAATTGTACAATGATTTGATTAAAAAGTCGCAGGTTCCAATAGTTATTAGCCTCCGTGTAATAGCCGTGAATAAAATACCACACGGGTCGTGTATTATTTAAGATGTAAACTTTTCAGAATATAAAATCGGGAAGTTGAACAAACAGACAAATTCTAAGGTGATGTCCCACTTGGATGCTGCGCCATGTATTTGGAAATCGCCAAATTACATGCCAGCCTGTTGAAAATATGTCTGCACCCTGTCAAAAATGTGAAATATTGAGATATTATGACCAAAACTTACAGAATTAGGCTTTAGTACCCAGTTGAGATAAAAGCATTGGAGGTGCCTGTACCTTCTTCACAAAATACCAAAGTGCATGTGGGGTTTGATGAGTTCCAATGAAATTGCAGATTTTCAAGATCAATTTCCTGGGTCTATGGGACTCAGGAAATTCCCTGAATGTCATTTTATAATATTTACAGTGGGTGTGTAATTAAATGGGTCAACCAAATACCATTTCTGCACCCATACTATTTTGCATAAAGTTGAGGGATGAACATTTTTTGGGATTCATCATTTTAATGATTCCATTGAATGTGATTTGTGAAAGATATAGAGAAGCTGTTTCTTCATCCATCCACTTGGGTATGACTGCATTCATCCATCCAATCATCTGTTTGTCCAGACAATAACTCAATTACCAGTTGATTGATTTGGTTCAAATATTGGAGGTTTATATCTTATGAGCATAGGAATTTGGGTTAGGAAGAAATTAGCAATTAATAATATTTCCGATACTGTATGATGAGTCATTTGATAAAATATGTTTTGTTTTGTTCGATGGGCTCTGCCACTCTGAAAGGTTGCTGTTTTTCTAGTTTTAAATGTTTTTTTTGGTTTTTATGTGTCTTATGAAATGAAATTCATGTTTTAAAATGGATCAATCATAACATAAGATTACTGTAAATTGAAAATGTGTAACAACAATAACTGAAGACATAAAGTGTAACAACAATAACTGAAGACATAAAGTGTAACAACAATGTTTGAACTGAAGATAGAAAGTGGAACAACAATGTTTGAACTGAATATAAAAAATGTAACAACAATGTTTTAACTGAAGATAGAAAGTGTAACAACAATGTTTTAACTGAAGATAGAAAGTGTAACAACAATGTTTGAACTGAAGATAGAAAGTGTAACAACAATGTTTGAACTGAAGATAGAAAATGTAACAACAATGTTTTAACTGAAGATAGAAAGTGTAACAACAATGCTTTAACTGAAGATAGAAAGTGTAACAACAATGTTTTAACTGAAGATAGAAAGTGTAACAACAATGTTTGAACTGAAGATAGAAAGTGTAACAACAATGTTTGAACTGAAGATAGAAAGTGTAACAACAATGTTTGAACTGAAGATAGAAAATGTAACAACAATGTTTTAACTGAAGATAGAAAGTGTAACAACAATGCTTTAACTGAAGATAGAAAGTGTAACAACAATGTTTTAACTGAAGATAGAAAGTGTAACAACAATGTTTGAACTGAAGATAGAAAGCGTAACAACAATGTTTTAACTGAAGATAGAAAGTGTAACAACAATGTTTGAACTGAAGATATAAAGTGTAACAACAATGTTTTTACTGAAGATATAAAGTGTAACAACAATGTTTTAACTGAAGATAGAAAGTGTAACAACATTGTTTTTACTGAAGATAGAAAGTGTAACAAGAATGTTTTTATCTGAAGATAGAAAGTGTAACAACAATGTTTTAACTGAAGATAGAAAGTGTAACAGCAATGTTTTAACTGAAGATAGAAAGTGTAACAACAATGTTTTAACTGAAGATAGAAAGTGTAACAACAATGTTTTTACTGAAGATAGAAAGTGTAACAACAATGTTTGAACTGAAGATAGAAAGTGTAACAACAATGTTTTTACTGAAGATAGAAAGTGTAACAACAATGTTTTAACTGAAGATAGAAAGTGGAACAACAATGTTTGAACTGAAGATAGAAAGTGTAACAACAATGTTTTAACTGAAGATAGATTGTGTAACAACAACCATTTTACTGTATATCGTAAAATGAAGGTTTTACTGTATATTGTTAAATAAATGTTTTACTGTATCTTGGAAAATAAAGGTCTTATTGTATATTGTGAATGTATTAAAACATGGCCAGTGATCAAATTAGCTGTGTGGTCTCCTATGATTTAATCTTCTTAGAAACTCCCTACACATGGGGACAAAGAAATGAAATAAAGAATACTTGACCTTAAATAACAAGAAGTGAACAGATTTAATTCCAATTGGCATCAATTCCTTTATAAAAAGTATTGCTGTTGTACAGACTTATTTCCACTATATTTCTCTTAGATGTATGGCCAAGTGTTTTAATTTTATTTCTTGATTTTATAATATATTCAATTTTTTGTTGGTTTTCTTTATTTTTTGATATTTCACTTTATGGTGTTATTTTTCTTGTTATATTAACCTTATTGCTGTGAAGTTTTATGTGTTGGTTATTGATTCGTTGACGGGTCATTCATGTGCGGATTCACGATCAGAGCTGCTGGCTATCCTTAAATAACGTCATCATAGACAATCTTAATAAATGAAGAAAAAAGATAAATCGTTTAAATATCCAATTAATTATTTCCTTTATATATCCTTAAGTTTATTAATAAACTACTAAGGCTATTGCTATGCCCTCTAGTTTCCTAAAATTGAGTTCTGTATCATTTTGTTATGAAATAAATAGAATTAAGGATTTCCTGGACATTTAATTGAAAATAAGGACTAATTTGGGGAATAAATGTTTATCAGAGTAAGCCCCCATGGGCAAATAAGTTGATTACTTGAGCCTCAAACATCCCCGTTGACCAAAAGGGTCAATGATTTACCACATATTGACAAAAAGGTATTTTTAAAATAAGATCCCTAGGCTGCATGACCAAAGTCTGTCATTACAAGAAAATCTTGAAGCTTATTTTGTAAACAAATATGAATCACCCTGCTGGAGAGCATTGTGAAGATTAGTCAAAAGCTGGGGGAAAATATCATGGAAGGGTGCACTGAAGAAACGGCTACAGAAATAGAAAAGATCAAACCATATTACAAGAATATTCAAAAGGCTAAGAACCTTTCCTAGAAAACAACGTGAGTTTTCCAACTGCTAATCTACCATCTAGCTACAAAACACCATGTACCAGTGAACAAGGTCGTCCATTCATGAATAGAAAGTTGAATGATAAATACGATTTGGATGGCATTTTGGCATGGGTATTGATCTGACTTGAGAAGTACAAAAGAGCCTGATGCACTATTACGCAGATAAATCCTATTGTAGATTAAATGTGGCTAATTTGGACATTGCCAAATGATTACTATTACACCAACATTCGTATTTTTCCAAATCACAGGCAGCTCATTTTATATTATTAGGAGGCCCTTTGCACTGATTTGAGATTTAGATGTCACAAATTGGAAAAAGGAGCAAGACCCATAAATCTAATGATTCTTTTGCAGTGGTTGACACTGGAGGATCCAGGGGGGGGGTGTCCCCGCCCCCTCTTGGGTGGGCCCAGAAAACATTTCAGGGGCTCCAAGAATTTTGTTGGCCTCGAAAAATGGGCATTTAAGGCCAAATTATCATTTTGCGTTTGATAAAATAATTGCCCAAGTCCTGGGTTGCAAATTTCTACATCAGCCCACATGTATTGGTTTTTAAGCCTCTATAGCTCAGTTGGTAGAGCATCAGATTGAATCCGATGGTCCTGGGTTCAATTCTCACACTGGGCAATGAATTTAGCACACTTTCATTCATGTCTGTATCTTGCTTGTTACTCTGTACTCTATACAGTTGGCCAATCTCCAGAGGTGCCCCTGGGTCATTAAAGATCAAAAAGGCGAGTCAGTTTATCAACCTATGTTGATGAGGCAAGAGGTGATGCAAATAGGATGACATTACTATGAGATTTTGGCAAGGCAGTTGTATATCTGTCTCCTGCCTGACTGTACCTCATCCTTATAGCAACTCGTAAACTATTACTTATGTTTTTGTGGTTCTTCTTTCTTCAATTATTGTCTTCATTATGACATGATAAGCCATCATAAACATATCAACAACAACCTTCTGGCGCCAACAAAGCAAAGCAGCCATTAAAAACTCTTTCCAAGATTACAAAATTTTTTGATATATGGTAGAATTCCCTCTAGCTTATGTAAGAAGTCACTGATGTCCTTGATGTGTGTAGTCAATGCTTTCTCTTCAGTGGATATCTCAATTGAGTTGTGACTTTAAACATTTTGTGGTTTGCTTTTCCTCTTTGATTGTCTGTGGATTAATGGACTTTTTGGCTTAAACAATTTTATATTAGGGATTCATTGTCTGTTGATTGTGAGGTGATTCTCGCCTTACAACCAGCAGCCTCTATAATGTATTATTTCTGCTAGCATCATAATTTGAATGACAAGTCTGTTCATTTATTTTATAAGTTTAGGGGTTTCAAGAGAATTTCTCACAACAGGCTAAATAAATGAAAACAACAGGCAAAATTAATGGAAATCATCAATTTAACATGGAAGTCCTTAAAAACATAAGCAATTTTGTGAAAACAACCGATGAAAATCGCCTGTTGCCTGCTGCTAATGTAATGACCCCTCTAAGTCAAAAATAATTTTAATGATTTTACACTGAAAGAATTGGCATTTTCAGTGAATAAGTGAGTTCAAGTGAATTAGAAAATGTGATGTTATGATATTAAAAAGCCATGTAATGAATATATAAGCACAAGTGCCAAAGGGAAAGGACCAAAAGTTGTAATGGAACTTAGCAAGAAAAAGCAAACTATAAGTGCATACCAGTCAAGAAAAAACAGACCCTAAATAGCCCAAAACCATGATCTAATGTGAAAAGAAACAATGTCTAATGCCCCCTTTCCCCCACCATTCAAGAACCAATATCACAATCCAAGACCAAATCAGATATGGTCAACAGTAGGTTTTAAATACTATGAATTGTTTTAGATTTGTGCCCATTTTAATTTTTTGATCTGCCAATTACTCAGATGCGAGTAGGTAGATACCAGTTTCGCCACCAGGTGGCTGATTCGGGGGAATTAACATGGCAGGGTATTGCAAAATTCCTTTAAACTTGAATATGCATCAGTTTTAATAGTTCACTTTTCATATTACCTTTATGTATCTAATAGTTATACAAATTAAAATATGTCCAGTAAAAGAAAATATTATCTGCCTAACACAAGAAAATATATTTCACTTTTTGTGGTTTTACAACATGGGGTCTATGGGGAATCTCCCCGACCTAGAAGTCACATTTTCAAAGAAAATTGAATTTTCAAAGTTGATAAACTCTTTTCAAAACCACATTTCTAAATGTAATTTTATGTTATTCCAAATATGACATCAGTTTGACTGAATTTTTGATGACGTAAATCAAGATTATTTCTACTCGCATCTGGGATATTTAATTCAAGATTGGCTTTTTAAATCTTCCTCAATAACCTTCGTGATACCTTTGTAACAACCTACATGTAACATAATATACGTGCTTTATTTTACATATAGTCTAGATGTCATTTTAAGAATTTCTGTTAAACCGCAACATATACCCACTAGGGTGTCTAGCTGCTTGTTTTTATAGTGTATATTATATAAGAATTATGAAATAAATAAATTGAATTGAAATATCACAGCCAGTCTACAATGAAATTTGATCATATTTTGGGGGACTTTCAACAAAATCAGTCAAATTACATGTGAATAGTAACCAATAGCAAGATTATGCTGGAAATGCCATAAAATTAACACAATTTAGAGAATTGGTTTTGTAGCTTAATATTGCTAGCTGGGTGTTGTTATTTAATTTTTCCAGATGTTGCCCTTCATGCTTTTTGGTTTGTTTGGTATTCAAACATTACATTGTTTTGTTTAGCTAAAATTATTTGCAACTTATTTTGTGCTGTTTGCTTTTTTCTCCCTTGGTGCATCTTTCAAGTGACTAGCCCAAAACCTTTGTCAATAGTGTCAGATATATAACATTTGCGGAAGGGATGGCTATTTATTGACATTTTCACCATTTTGTATTGTTTAGAGTTGAAGGGGATAAAATTCTAAATGTAAATGAATCGTATTGATATATGTTGACCTTTTAACTTGTCATCTTACACCCCTTTGATAGGTTTGGCAACTGGAAATCAATATTGGATAACATATTCAAGACTGTTTGTGAGTACTCATTTGTTTCTCAGTTATATTAGGATGGACATTTATGGTTAATTTGATGGACTTTCTAAATATCACCCAAAATGAACTTTATTTAGCAGTTGGTTCAAAAGAGGCCTTTCAAATGGCAAACTTATGGAGGGAGTGTATCTGTAAATTGACAAACAAATATATATGCAACTGGTACAATATCTTTATTACATAGTTGTACACTGTACTTAGTACTCAACAGCCTATGTGTGGGACGATTAATTACAAGCAAAAACAGAAAGCAGCTGAAATTGTACATTATATGCACTGCAGATTTTAAGAAAAACGTAATAAATAACATTTGAATCTTAAGCCCAACCCATGAAGTATTTTTAGCCCAATAGATGGCTCCACTGACTCAGATTATTCCAGACTTCATGAGTTCGGCTGATTTATTTTGGAAACCGTTTTGACTTCAAAAAGCCATTGTCATTTTAAGGCTTACCATTATTAGTATTTTAAGGATTTAAAACATTATGGCTCATTTATATGGCATTAATCTATCTTTTAATAGAAACAAAAACATTTTTAACAAACATATCCAAAGGGATTGAAATGTCAATAAATCGTTATATCATGTTATTTTTTCAGTTTGATAAAATACAAATATCACATTAAAATGAGAAAAATATACATACATCTACAAAAACCTTTTTTAGCAATACATCAAGATTGTAAACTTTTGATAATGGGACGTTGTGTCATGCAGAAACTCATCCAAGAGGCATATTGCTAACCTGAATCTATTAAAAGTTTTTTATTTTATTTTACAAATACGAACAGATATACCATCATAGTTATAGTGCCACTTTAAAAAATCCATAATTCTATTTTAAAATTTCAAAATGTGCTACACCGTTATATCTGACAATATTACAAAATATTTAGTAGATAAATTACACATATTTTTGATATTATAATTGTATATAATTATAATCCCAGTGGAACAATAACAAAAAATGAATGTCACTATACAATTATGGTAGTTTTTATGATAATCGGGAATGTGGATTACATATGAATTGTGTTTGTCATTATTAATCTAATTTTATTTATTTGATTAATATCACTTGCATATCATGTTTTACTCTCATATGCGTAATCAAACCGTTAAGTTAATCCTTTATTCGACTCGAGGGAATTAATCTGAAATATAGTCTTTAAATGATTATTTTTTCAAGATGTAATTTCTGATCATGGTTTAAATGCTGGTTATGGTAACATTTGATCTCCCAATAAGATATGACTAGTCGGAGTAGCATTTCAATTAAATCCATCCTATATCAGTTTACGTTTTTTTTCATCTCCGTTTCATCATTCACGGAAACAAGAAGCAGGAATATGTTAGGTTCACTATTCACTACAGAAAT